CGTCTCTCTAATTTCTTATGGCATTTCTGTATGTAAATAGTACACATTCTTTTACTTTATTCGTATTATCCTTTCCATCTATTAGTTCAATACCTAATATTTATTTATGGCTGACCTTGTAGTGACGAAGAGTTAATATACAATTTGTCACCACTTCATTTTATACCTATAATAATATCTTAAGAACCGACTAAAATAATAGCATACAAATAGACCAGTGCAAGAGAGGCAAAATATAAAATAATAATAAATTTTATACCAAAGTACTTGTTCATCTTGAACAGACTATATCCTCCTCTTATGAGGAGAAATCCATGCCCTATGAGGGATGATAATGGGTTGTTGCGATAATGAAGAAGCTATATCGGTACTATGTGTGTATCTGTAGATATATTGATTTATGTCTTTACTGCAAAATATGCGTCTAATGATCCAAAATCATATTACATTGAATTGAGATTACAGACGCTATGAGAGGAAAATCCATATCCTGTTTATGTAAGCAAATAATTAATCATCCATAGTCGATCAATTGGCGTCTAGCTTGTATTTCCTGCGTCGTGGCGCCTTCATTACCACTAATAACATATTCAATGTGCACTTGCGTGCCGAATAGGTTTTCCTGATAGAAAACTGCATTATCAACTTGGATGAAGTACCCATTCAACCTAATATAAGTGTGAGTATTGTTCGGGCTTTTTCCATTGTGGCTCTTGATTTGTGTTGTTGAGTTTGTGTTGTGGCAATTGGAATTTTGATTACTTTCGTTTAGTGTTCAAATATTTTTATTCTCGAAATGTTAATCACCTTGCTTTCGAATTGTGTTTTCTTCTTTATTGTATTTAGGTATGTAGTGAATTTCTATATATATTTATAGTGATAAATATATAAAAATTTACATTTTTATCTGATATTGATATCACAGTATTGCTATCATGGTATTTTTAATTAGTATTTAATAAATTATGTAAATTACATTTTTGGACTTTGTACTGATACCACAGGTCATTAGAAGTTACATTTGGAAAAATAGAGTGTCTTTGTCGCTCGTTATTTTCTTTGCTGTAGTTTCGACATGTATCGTAGATGACTCCGTATTATGGAGTTAACATAATTCTGTAATCTACACACTTTCTGACACTTCTCTCTCAACATCATCATATGTCTGTTACCGTAATTGGCACCCTAATCTATTACTTATGGAGGTCATCATTCTTACCATCGTTCACATGTAAATTTATGACAAATTGGTACTTTTAAATTGCATCGGCTATTATTGGAATCCAAATAGCGTCACGGTTTCGTCGCAACGGGTCGTGCAGAGTGCCGTGCGTGTTGTTCTTTGTACCTACATACCTACTTAATTTAAACTTCATTTAACTTTGTCGTAATACGCTTGGTGTATATTAATTAATAAGAATTTAAAATTATGGAGGAGATTTTTCTTTGTAATTTAAAATATTTTATGTTTATTCATTACCTAGATTACTACTTCAGGTGAATATATCTATATTATAAAGACAACCACAAACACGAAGTATGTAGCGTATAATATTTTAATATTAATTTGCTGTCCTTTAACAAAACACGAGTAGTTTAATCAATGTAGTTGTTACGAAAATTCATAGCCTTGTGGTTTTCTCATGGTGTGAATGCCTTTGTTGGATCATAATAATAAAAACCTCCCGTGAACGTTCCCTTTGTTCAGCGAAGGACTAAGAAACAGTTCTTATATTCCTGTAAACTTAATATAAGCAGTTTATTATGGCGATATATTTTTTTTTATTCTTCGACTCATTCGGAAAGCAGACTCATCATAACAACATTGAACAGAAACTTGCGTGTTGCAATTTTAAATAAATAGTGAGCATTACATTTTTGGGATTCTGTTTGAATATATAATCTAAAAAGTAAATAAATGTAATAGCTATTTATGTAACTAAAGAAATTAGTTCTAGTCAGAGCATACGAGGAAATACATGCAGCACCCGTTCATGAGTATAACGTGACAGACGAGTATAAGGCTATGAGGTAAAGCACCAAGGTGATCAAATATAGCTAATCATAGTACTTACCAAGTGATAGTGAATTAAATTTGTATGAGTATCATACAACAACAATGAACTTTTTGTCACCACATATTGTATAACATGGTCATCGCACGGGTCACACGATATTGCATAACTGTTGTTATCAAACCGTCACAAACTTAGTACTGTCGCTTGTAAAATTGAAATCACACCTATAACAATAGCATTGTGTCTGAAGTCATTTGAATTAGTTGCAAGCCCATAAGGAAACGGTGAGTCACGATCAGGGTTGCCAAAAACAAGAGTGGTCCGTTGCTACTACGTGAGCCGGTGCTGGCAGGGAGTCAACCGTGCCATCAGATATGTTGAAGCAAAAGCAATCATATATGTCAAGATAAATTTTTTTAATGTAATTGGAATGCAAATCAAGCTCTCAATTGTATACCTTATATACTGCAAAAGAGCATAAAATCAGATACTTCGTCGAGGACTTTCGCACGGCTGGCAACCCTAGTCACCATAAGGCGGTTTGCTTGAAATCTTAGATGTATTTACGGTAAACTCGGCCATTGAACACAGCCGTCGTGCGCCTACGTACACGTGTGAAATGTATTACATCGGCATCATAAATATAAACTGGCTGGCTAATTTTTTAATCTATATGCAAGTCGAAAAGTATATCGACCAGAACTGTGTGATGTTCTGTATTATCAAGTTTGCGCTTTGTATAGCTAAAAATATTTTCACTAGCAACATTCATTATAACTGAATGAATAAGGATAAATTTAAGTTTTATTTTAAATTTTATGTGTCATGGTTTAAAACCATCAGATCAATAAGTACCTGTTTAAGGATATTTCCACCTCATTTTGCCACTAGAAGGTTTGTTTTATATATTCGGGTTTGAAAGGCAGATTTATTACAGACAAATCACTAATAGATATGCCACACTGTTAGATTGACTTTTAGAGATAAGTCCACCATTGCTCACTTTGTATATAAATAATTTAACTACTGTATTTCAAAGTGCAAAAAAGAATAAAGAAATTACTGGGAATGAAGACTTAAAATATTATTCCAAAGAAATGACGACGTCGTATCAGTGACAACTATAGAATGGATAAATAACTAACTTTATTACAATGATAACATGTTTAATATCAAATAGTCAATAATCTGGCAAGAATCTTAAAAATGTCCCCAATGACATAAAACATCAGTCTGATAAGAATCAATTTCTTGACTGACAAGTCTCCAGTATTCTCTAAAGTTGATATGATGATATGATAGTTATTGTGTAAGACACTTGTAAGAGTAAATATTGATAAAGATAGGTATGTAGTTGATTATATTGTTATTATCAGCCATATTTCTCTTACTGATGATTATGCAATGGTGCGCAGCTATATACCCTGACAGGGCACGAGTAGTAAACAATAGGACGAAAATGAAATCCACACCCGCAGTTGTGAATACCACAGGAATTTACCACTATGGTATGTGTGGTATAATAGATTATACTATATATTAATAGATTATATTACATATACTTTCTTATATTCGTCTCCAAATTAATATTTTATTACAATACAGCAATTAAACCATACGATAGAATACGTAACAAAAATAGTGACATTGGTACTTGTTTTTTTACAATGTGAATCAACAAGTCGATGATTAATAAATACAACCTTAGACGGTACACCAAAGACAAATTGAAATTTTATAAAGATTTCAACTTTCGTCACATTGAAATCTTTTTTTTTTTACTTTGGTTGTTTCAACCATAAACACCAACCAGTTCTTATCATATTTGTCTATGATAAGAGATTATAGTCATTTGTATAAATAAATGAGTTTCAATCTAAACTTCTTTAAATTCAGATTTCTCATTTCAATTGTTTCAATTCAGTAGCAGGCTGCAACTGCTATTGTTTGTAGCAATGATTTATCCAATAACAGAATTACTAGCATAGCTTCTGAATTTGTACAATACGAGGTTATAGGTGTAGCTAATCTTAAAGTGACATAATTTTACTTTACTATCTATTTATGTATTAGTTAAACTATTGCTTTCAAAGGTACTATAAACAGTGTATACTATATACTATAATACTACAAACTGCTACTATAAGTAGCAAATTCTATGGTAGATCATACGACATTAAACTGTGATAATTATACCTACACTCTTTCCATAATTGATGTTATACATTTATCACATTATCGTTTCTTATCTATATTACTTTGTCCTTGTACAGTTGCTACAGCATTAAAAGTAGATCAATGCAATGCAAAAAATCACGTTTTGTAATACTAATGAAATAATTTAATTCAGTTTATCTGATTCTCTTGAAATTGCAAAATTATCTGATGTCTGGGATAATCGTTATTATCACTTAAATACTCAAGTTTCGTTTATTTTTATTCAATTGTGCTACCCGTCGATAATTCTTTTGTAAGATTAAAGTTAATTTAGATAAGAATACAATTAAAATTAACAATTTTGTGTTAACATTTATCTCCTATGTATCTTTTTTATTCGATGTTTACAAATTTTTATTACTCGTGTCTGAATTAACATAAAAATAATGTATATGTTTCAAATTCTACTTAAGCTTAACAATATATCGATTTCTTAATTTAGGTACTGATATAATACTTACATTAAAAATTAAATATATAAACACCATATTGAATGCGATAATGTAAATACAAGTTTACACTATTACATTAATTATTCATTCAATTGCACTGTCCCTAGTTACTTCGCTCTACTTACCAAAAAAAACGCTGTTAAATTTGAAGTTTTAATAAATAAAACATTTGATTTGCATTCCATTTCATGCACAATGAACGGTTTTATAGTTCATGAAGCAATCGATGACAAAAACGGTTTCGTTATTTTTTGTCTTTAATATAAGTATAGAGAGAATTTAAACACTTGTTCATATATCTCTATTGTTACAGGCTAACCAGATTAGACATTCCGGTTGTGTATACATCGGAAAGAACCTTGGAAGTACGTTGCTGACTTGACCACGCATCGACGTACTGTCACTTACGCAAGCTTATCTACCGGAAGGACAACTAAAGCGAGATTGGTTTGAGTAAAGGGGAGCATTTGTGTGATGTGCCGGGAACATCACACGAAAGTGCAGTTGGACGTCACCTGAGAGAATCAGTGGTTTTAGTATCGCCCAGGATCTGAATGAGGCGCAACGATGAAGTTCTCGTCAGGCTCGAGTTCGAGCAGCCTCGCCAGCGACTCAATGTCGAGGAAATCGACTTTGTGCATCTACACGGAGGTGGACGGTCCTGGTCCACAGCTACATGTCGAAAGGGTAAGTTGGCCTTACATTGTCAACGTCATAAATCTTGCCAATGAAAGTACTTAAAACATAGGTACCTACACGGATGATCGTTGTGGGTGACATTTAATATACACTATCAGTTATGATAGCGTTACATAGCATAGGCTCGTAAGAACTTGCAAAAGCGAAAGTAACCAGTAAGATAACATAACCTTAAGACAACCAAACAACTGACCAATTTGCTTTCGATTTTTCACGACCGAGTATAGTACATTAACTTTCAATCTCATACAACGATAATAATAATATCGCATTAACAAAAACAATGCAAAAAGCCGCGCGTCCGGGTTGGAGAGTTGGGTTCGTTTGAGAGAAAGTAGCATGTCATCTGCCAGCGGTTCTGTAAGGCTCCATTTGGGACTGATGTTATTTTGCAACACCTTAAATATTTATAAATATTTTTCGCCACCTATATGGATATGCAACCATAAATCCTCATTTACATTTATAAAGCTGGCCTTTTGGCCTTGCAACTTTTACCACAGTTACCCTCGTAAACGTTGATGCAAAAGTATTCGACTGCGCATATTTCAATCTCATTTGACACCTACTTACCTAATTACATAGCCCACATGTCTGTAATAAATATTACACATTGAAATAATGTAATATGTTCTTATAATAAAATATGTATAGATATTTTTGTTTACAAAGACTATTGTATCACTGATTACGTGAGCATTGTATATTTACGTGTTGTGATTGTTAGTAAAGGTGTTTCATAATTACTTGCATTCCTAACGTAAATTGTTTTGCACTCTTGTATCTTGGTATAATCCTCTTCAAAACCTCATTATTAACAACCTTGAAATATATTTAAAACCTCTTTTGAATATGAAATACTTTATGATGATCTTTAGATGGTATTAAGTCATGCACTTGAACGACGAAAAGATTTACAATAAGCGTTTGATTAATGACTTGGGTGTCCTCATCGAGTTGATTGGCCAACAGTTATTATTGTTGCGTGTTGTGTTTGTGCTCCAGAACGGTGTTGCGAGAATCATCCTCGATGTTGTCATATATCAAGGCTTTTTCTTAAGTGTTTTAAGTATCACACGTGATGATCTGAACTGTATTGTCTGCACTTTCACGACCGTACTATTTGCATCTAACGTAAGTCGATTTAATAGTTGAATTACATGCAACGTCTAATGTAACATCAATGAATTCTGCAAACTCTAATTTGCAGAATTCATTGATGCATTTATCATGACGTAGTGATTAGTAAATTGATATAGATATCCTCTTATTATGTTATTTTCTAAACACAGTGTTTAGTTAGTCTACGATGTGAAATCATCGTTTTAAAGTTTCAATGTTTTATATTTTCAACATAATACTATTTTGTTAAAAATCCCTCTTCTTAAGATCAGCGTTTTGAACATTTCTACATAAAATGAACGATTTACTAACGTCACACGAAATATATCGTTTAACAAAATTTGTAAAAGTAACTAAATCTAGACTCTCTACATAGTTCCGCAATCTTGAAGAAATACCAACAGCCTCTGATTTATTTCCATACATATTCAAAACACGAATATTAATTAGTATTACCACACCGTAATCAGGTTTCACAAGTTAGGAGCCATCGTGATAAATTCTCCCCGTTACAATACAATCAGGCATAATGTCTATGGAGATAAATGATCTACTAGTACGTAACACAGTGGTCCGAGATTCGATTATCTTATATCATCTGATCGCTTTCTCTGTCGACAGCGTAGGTGTTCAATATCTAATCAAGGTATCAACGAATGTAACTCGACATCCATTGTTCTCTATGCAACGGCTAATGAACTTTTACCAAACAAATATTAGATGAAAGTCACGTTCTTAATGATTAACACTTTTAGAAAACTGTTTAGCCGTAATGGATATTTATCTGTGTTGTAATCGTTCGCAGACAATTTATTATTCGTTTTGTTTCAAACATTAATAATGGGGCGCGGTACGTTGGTTTCATTGTTTTTTTTTCTTTCTGCAATTTCTTAATTAGCTCTTTAGTATTATGCAATTAGACGATTATTGAGCGGTTTCTTTAGTGAGTAAATTATGTTTTGGATTGTATTATCTAATTTAAGAAATTTTTCCCATAGAGTTCAAAGCCGTTGTTTTATTCTGAAATCTATATAACGAGGGTGATATAGAGATGATATAGAGACAGTATTGTTATATTTCAATTTAGATGATCGCAGTATTGACATCCTCACATTCGAATTGTATTTATGACCGAGTCCGTTTGTACTAATATACATTTGCTAAAATAAGTATTTCAGTATGTCTATCAGTTGTCCCATAGCACGAGCTCTGCTTAGTTTGGGGATAAATAGAGCTGTGAAAGTTGTTTATTGTTACTAGTTGTTATTATGAATAGAATATTCACAAAAGATGACAACTGCTAACCTAAATTGAATTGGTTTAAAACATTCGTCGCAGCTATCTCAATTTCGTGCCGCTTGTTTATCGGGGTGTATATTTACGCTCCTTTTATTCTAAAGTAATCTGATACAAATAGTTTACCGCCAGCAGATATCGCTATGTTGCGGTTAAGCTTGCCTCTGTGTTGCCCCCGTGAAAAGGGGCCTATAGCAAAATAATATGCGCAGACATTGATTTATTGATAGCCGGCTATCTTATCAAATAATGTGATAAAATTATTTCACAACGTAATACTGAAAAGATCAATGTTTTAGTCCAAATTCCAAATCTCTAAAGATTCCAGTATAAGTTATGAAGCAAACGTTAGTCTTAATAAAATATCTACCTCCGACTTTATTTTTGGGATAAAACAGTATTATAGTTATATTAGCATTCCGAATATTGTAATTAAAATGTAAGCCAAGTAAAACGTTGGCTTTTTTCTGTAAATTATCTTTTTAATTACAACTTTTAACTTACACTTATTAAAAACAGAAATAAAACGAAATGGATTGTGAACTCAGTTACAACATAATATGTACTTTCAACTTTGTTTGATTGAAAACGTCATACGATTTATTCATTTTTATTTTCTTTTATATTGGGGCATTACCTATTATAGAAGTAAGACGAATTAATAATAATGATAATATCTCAAATGTATGTAACTTAATATCAGTTCTAACTATAACCGACGTTATATTATTACTTTGCCATTACACATGCGAGAACAATTCCCATAAATGATCCACTCCCGCGTTCAGCAGGAATGCTCTCGCACCTGCCTCCGCGAACAGGAATGTTGGCATGCTTCATTGTAATCTCTAATTCCATTGCTATCTGACCATTATTTTAATAAGCTTTTCAGTACAGTAATAATAGAGTAGCGACGTCGCGTGATCGTCCTTGTGCCGAGCGTGAGCAAATGCACGATTATTTTTCTTGCGATCGTGGATAGAGCTGTTACATCAGTCTTAAATGAGATTTGCCATATATTACGTCTAAAATTCGCAGAATCTCGTAAGCTTCATGTCAAACGTGGTTTTCTACTATCGTATCTTAAGATTTTACATATGTAATATCTTAATTTTTGTTTTTGGGTATTTTTGTAGTTCGTATGCACACAAAATTATAAATTTAATTTTATAAGTTTTATATTCATTAGAGCACCAGTATTATAGCATTACAATTTAAAAAATAGTATCATAAGCACATAATGTGTATAAAAATAAGCATTACATAAATGCTTATTTTTATTTCATTTACTACTATTACGTCACAATTTGCACGAGGTTATTATTTTTTGACAAATATAATTAAAAATCTCTTTTCTAGTTGTCGCTCGTTCTCATTAATAAGATGATTATCGTCCGCATCTCTAGTATTTATTTTTCTTAAGTGTAGTTAATTAAATGTATTGTTATTTGTTTGCAATTGTCCGTTGTTTCATGGCTTGTTAGCCGTGGCTCTATCAACACTTTCATCAGATGTGTGACCTCACGTGAGCTCATTATATTGTGAGTCTAGTTCTCTTGTAGCGTTCGTGACACTATCTGTGATAGGACAATGTAGCAAACATGTACAGTACACCAGTTGAGTTTTACTATCATTGCACTTTCCCTGGCGAGATAAGATTAGTTTCTAGAAATTCCTGAGACACGTTCAAACGAATACGTGAGAAGTATAATTACTTGAATAAATATTAGCGTGTAACAAGTGGTCACAGAAATCCCCGTTTCTTCGGGTAAGTAGTGCCATTTATTGATATCTGTTGGCTACTCATTACGTTAAAGATCTGGGTGTTTAAAAGTGCCGTTTTACCTTAATCAGTAGCTTTGTATATTTTTTTATTACTTCGGTATTACGAATGTAATTTCACGAAAGTGTAATAATTAGACGGTACGTTTTATTTGTCAGGTCATTATATTATTCAAAACTAATTCCGTTATGATCTGCATGAAACAGCGTTTGTAGACCTTCTGTAATAATCTAGATATATACACACATATAATATTCTTGCATTACGTTATCATACACTCATGTCATATTAATATGTAAATAATAATTATTGAGTGCAACGTTCTCTCCGTTCAATGCACTGTGCCCATCCAAGTCTGTATTTACTGCATGGGGCTGACAGTAAAACAAAACAACGAATTGTACTATTGCCTGTGTAGGTACTAAGTATCAGTTATTCCGTTGCAGGTAATTTACTGGCCCCTATAATGTTACCAAGCTATTAAAAATACCTCGGATATGTCTTGCTATCGCTCTAAAAGGACCCGCATAAGTGTGATTTGTCAAGCATGCACTTGTAAGTACTTAAAAGTGCTTGTATATGCTGTACCAGTTGCGTGAAATATATATACATTTGTGTTATCTACATATTTTTCTACACTAAAAGAATTATCTGAGGGAGTTATCTGATATTTGAGACATATATATAAACTCAATAACAATACAAGAGCATGTTATCTAAGAGTTGCTCTTAAAAGTAATTCTTATCGATCAACATAGGAAATGTAAAGTTAAGCACTTTTTTACTT